TCAATAAAATGGGAATAAGTCAGAAACTGTTAAAGATAGCTATAGGAACATGTATTGTCAAAATATGCCCATTTCGATTCTCTATCTCATGGAATAGTAAGAACATGGTCATTCCATTAAAAAAAACTGAAGTTTTTTTTTTTTTTTGAAGTTTCATAAATTTGGATATCCATAGGGGCGGTCGTACGCAACTTAACTTTTTTTTAAGTGCACTAAAAGAAAACCATATTCATTCTCTATGCACTGATAAAATAGGTTGCCATGACTACAACCGTTTTCAAGTAATCAATTATCAAGGTACCATCTGCATCCGCTATTTTTTTCTTAAAGTCAAAATAACTTAAAAACCATAAATGGTAGATATCGACATATGGGTATCAAAAGAAGTGAAATTTCACGTAGAATCCAAAAAAGCAAAAAAATAGGGGTTGCCATTTAAAATAACGAAGTTACTATCTACTTCCGGTGTTTCCGGAAGTGCGGCCATTTTGAAAATATTTTACATCGATTCGGCCTTCAGAGTAACTCTAAGTACAAATTTTTCAAAAACCTACCTATTTTAACTTTCCCAGAAACTTTTAACTAAAGCTCCACAAAAAAAACACCCTGTATTGCGATTTGTTACTATCGTTATACAATAAGGAAATTGGCCACAAAGGCCGATTTGTCTTAACTACAATATTCATTCGCACTAACTCTGGAAACTTCTAACTCTATTGTAATAAATGTGCTTCTAAACTTTGGTTGGCTATACTCGCATATACTTTGCACAAATTTCCATAAAACAATCAGTATGTTCCGAGCATTCAATGTCTATTAATACTAAATGAATGACGCATTTTGTAACTACATAAAGCCACTCTATGAGTTAAGTTGGCGTACATTTACCGGATGTAATTTATAATTGCCAAATGGAATTGGGTATTATAGATCGTTACATGTAGCAGATTACATTAAAATATTAATGTTAACGATAGCTTTCAATGAAGAATTGCTATTTAAATGACTGTTCTGTTTATTAAATTCATTGTGATAATAATGCATTGACACAATTTTCTTCTATTTATTTGTTTTCAGGCACTCCCCAAGGTACGTAGTTGATTTTCACTATTTGTTCTTCTCTTTAATCCTTTGTTTTTAATCAGTTGTAGTAAAAACTTCCATACATCTTAAGAGTTTCTATATCCCTTTTACGTAGAGATTAGTTCCCCAGTAAAACGTTGTAAAATTATAATATTCCTACCATTATGCTTTTACATCTTTACAGACGGACATAAAATATGCTAGCACGTACGTAGACCGGAAAAAACTAGTTTAACGAAACAGTTTTAAAGGCAATAAAATTACACAATTAAAGTTTTACGATACCTACAAATTTTCACGTACACTAGCCGATGGGAAAAATTAGATTTTGTCCATTTGCTCGCACACCAGTCCCTAGGGGTGCATGCAAAAATATGTACACGTTTATTGTACAAGTATAACCGTTGTCGATATTTACACCGCCAGTTCAGCGAAAATTGTTACCGAAATTAATTTAAAAAGCGTAACTTCCTCGTATTGGGCCGCAAATTTGCATGAGTTTAATTCACCTTTCAGTTCAAAATGTGACGCAAATCCAGATATACGTTAACAAAATTCGCTTGCGACGCCCTTTTTATATACTTATTGAGCAACAGGCTGCGTTTCTTGGTGAGAGGCCACTCGAAATCCCTTTAGTGGAGTGAGTACTTCATCAATTAAAAGAAGTGCATTTGAAAAGGCGTACAAAAAATGATACCTACCTTTGGAGGAGCATGTTTTAATTACAATGTGTGATTTTATACGTCATTCTATAGGAAAACAACGCAATGTACCGCATAATTATTTCAAGATTCAGACGCGCGCTTTTAATTAAAGCATACATTTTCTCTTTGGGGTAAAAAATGTTTATTCTAAACGACCAACCTTTGTTGTTTACTTCGTTAAACAAATTTTTGCCACTCGAAAGTCGATCTCATTAAAATGAACTGTGGTTCTGAGGATGCTACAATTTTGATTGTTTCGAGAAACGTTCACCATCTTATTCTCTATCAAAGATACCGAAAAGACAGATGAAACTTTAGAAGTTGCAAAATCGAGTCTCATTCTATGTGATCGGCAATTTCGGTCATCACTTTAAGAAAATAAGTCGAGTAATAAGTATAGTTCAACACCGACATTGTGTCGAATATTATGCTAGATTTTTATAGTCCAGTCAAAATAGGAAAATCAGAGAAACTAAAAATACTAGTTCCAATTTTTTCAGAAATGTGTAGGGAGAGGTTCCCTGAACAAGAAAAAATAAAGTCCCTCCAAATTCCGGTGCCGCTGGGGGAAGGAGGGCGCTAAAGCGTTCAGTTTTCGAAAAAATGTATATAACCAAACAAATAGAAAATTTAATAAGCTTTCATTTTGTACTGAAGAACTTTTTCAGTGTAACGCACCATTTTCGAGTTAAAAGCGAAAAACTGAAAAATGGGTCGTTTAAAGCCCCCCATTCGGCGAAATATACAAGTTATAATCTTGTGCAACATTAATTGTCGACAGTTGAAAATTATATGCTTTTGTACTATTTATTTTCGAGCACTAAATTAAGTGGCCCTAGTTTTAGTTATCATACTGAGGGTTTTATCTTTGGAGACTTCATCAAATAGTGAATGCTCCACCCTTGACGATCCCTCCTCATAGGTCTCATAGTGTGGAGGCTAGCAGGTCGAAACCTTGCTGTAGTAGAACAGGAACAATTCTATCCATCCCTGGGAATTTATACGAATGGAAAGTCTTCACTTCCCACCAAAACACACTCTCCTCTGTTCCCCTCACAGGTGGTTCCACAGTAAATGGTTCGCCCACGTCATTTTGCGAGGGTCTTCGATGATCCCGAAAGGTGTGAATGAAGCAAAACCTCCAAGGTCTCCTTTGCGGCCTCTGTATAACCCCCTCAATTTTTTTCAACGAACCGATTCGGCTGCCTCTTCGCATTACATGCTTGTCACCTCCTCTGCCTCCACCTTCGTCTTGGAGAGTTTGTGCGTCACGCAGATGAAGTCCCCATAGGGTCCCAGTTCAGTCTACCGATATTTCATCTGCTCTGCGCATGTGATGAACGGCCTTCCCCCCCGTCTGTGAATGGGCGAAACCTCCTCAATGAGAAAAGCGTCGACTCTGTCAGGGATCCAAGTTTTGATGCGCCTTGTCTTCCCTTTCGACAACGTTCCTTCCCGGTCTTCATGGACAAAAGCCATTCTGAAGCTTGCAGCTGCTTCGCTACACGTTCTGGTATCCTTTACGGTTCCAGTTTTTGCCCTTTTCGAGATACTTCCGTCGGGAATGCTGCCAATAGACCGGTGTCGCTTTCTCCTTCCAGTCTTCAGTGCAGCCTCGATAGGAGCATTGCCTGGTTGCTTATAGCTCTTAGATTACCCCACTTTATCAGATGAGAGGCCAGGTTGCCTAGAGTCCCCTGGTTTCTGCCTCATCTTTTTTAGCTTCTGGCGCGCTACTCCGGAAAGTTTTTTAGGCTCTGCAGTACCAGGTGTTCCGGGAGTGTTTTTTTGTTTTTCTTGGTCCATATGAGTCCGATGACTATGAGAGAAAGAAACGCACACGTCGGGCCCCCTGCACACGTGTGAGGCGACTACAGCCTTCCTGAGGTTGTGTCCTCTTGGTTCGGGCGATAAAGCCGAGACCCCCTCCACCATCCTGTGCTCTCCGCGTTAGCGCATGGTATGACGCCCATCTACCACATGTCGGCACCGTTAACCCCTTGGCCACGATACGACAGCCGGGCGGGGTAGGTGGTCCATTTCTTCGGATTATTTTTTCCTATATTCAGCTTCAAACTGTTTGTATTCGTTTTTTTGCTTTTCAAAAACCTTTTTTTTTAGTTTTCCGATGGTTTTCTATTTTTGCAAGTTTTCTGGAACTTAAAGTACTTCGGATCCCTCTTCCGATATTTCTAACGTTTTGTGCCTTGCGTTTCCAAGTCCAAATTTTCGATGGTTCGAATTCGTCCGACCTTTCAAATTCTTTAACCTTCAGGTTCTTTAGATGTTTCAAAATTCATCAATTCTTCATATTCTTCCGGTTCTTCAGTTTCAGATTCTGTGGATTCTTCAATTGCATCCCTTCAAGTCTTTCAGACAGAATTACTTTTCTTAGTTTCACCCCAGATTCACATTAAATCCTCCAGATTATAAATGCTTTTCTGATTTTCTCACTATCTTCCAATCCTTACGATTTTCCTCGAAATCTTCTAATTCCTCAAACTCTTAAGGTATCTAATGCCCTAATTAATTGCAAAACCTTCGAATAATTTCGATTCTTTACACTCGAAGAACGATGTGGATTCTAGACTCTCCCAATCACTCCAAATCTTTTGCCTACGATTAGTTTGATAAAAAAAAGTGTGTCCGTTTGCTAGATGGGAATATCAGTGTGAGAATGGCTTTACTTTTGGTAATTGCTCGCACAAAATTGTAATTTGTAGCAGGTACCAACAAAGGTAAATTGATCAACTAGTTGATGGGTATCAAATTTCTAACTCTCCGCAATAAGAACAAAATTAAATGAAACAACAAACAAATTTTGTGCCCCTCAACAATAAATATCATACAATTCAATTGAGATAAAATTATTTTAGGCAAAACTAGTAAAAATTTTATTTTTAAAATTGACTCTTTTTACCATCTTGTTGCACTGAGCAGCACAAAATGTTTATTTATATGTATAGCACAAAATTATAACTAAATGTATTAAACTGGATTTGTACTGCCAATTACATAAGTAAGTAAATGCCATTTCAATGGACGTATTGAAGTCAATTTTGCGATAATCTCGTGACAATTGACACCAAAAGCAGATCCCCAAAGTAGCTCATGATCAGATAACAATTGTCACAATTGTTAGAACTATACTCTTTTTTTTAAGAAAGTGCTTGGGTTTCAAACAAACATATGATTAATAAACGCCATAGCATAATCTAACTGAAAAATCACACAGATACAACTAAACATAATTACATCGCCTGCAAAAACCTTCTTGTAATTCGTGCATTCCCCAGATCTATAAAAATGTAAGCACAAAATACTAGGTTGAATTAACAATTTACTCATTTCTTGCGAACCCTGTGAGCAGGAACGGGTGGTGTACGCGAATTCAATTTAAGCGGCCGTCTTAAAATGTTCCATAGGAGAATTGAAAATTGAAAAGCATCCTTGATTACGCACAATTTTATAATGAAAAAACCTGTCGATGAATTTGAAGATGTTTTATTTAAATGAACGAAATTTCATGGTTCAGTTGAGTTAAACTCATGCAAGTTGCCATCACCATACCACATTATGGGGACAAATTACCGTATCACGCACCGTACATAAACACAATTTGAAAAACTACTGATAGTACGACTTTTCACACGCACTTCCAAAATACTAGCTTAGATTTAGACCTCGTATTCTAAAATTTATCTTTATAAAATTTCCAAAACATCATAAAGAAAATCCAACGTGTGGGCAACAGCACAAAGATATCATAAAGCAACTTCTTGATTCCAGTATGTAAACAAATATTTCGTTTAATATTTATAAATTAATTCGCTTTTTGCTTCAACCTTTTATAATACTTAGTAAAGGCTTTTGTAGTTTCGTTAGTTTCGGCGCTTTTATAAAGGCTATAATGATAATTATTGCTTGGTCGAAAATTTTCTCTCATTAGATGATTGGTAGTTGCTCGTAACAAAAATGTGCACATTGCAGTTGAACCGATTTAGATAAGCCGTTGTTCGTTCGTTACTGTTTAATGTTTAAATAAATAGCATCAATGAGGTACGATACCGAGCGTAATGGAGTCTACAGACCGACCGACGATGGGGTTGTTTGTTTTAATCGCCGCATTCGTGAATTTCAAAGTTAACGAAGTTAATATACAGGCTTTTAATCTCACAATTTTCAAATACTAGCCATATTTTCTGAAAGGGTTGCGGCTACGCGGATTTCGATAAATGCGTGTTTATGAATAATAATGCCAATGCGGGCAGGGATATTAAATCAACCTACGCTACAAACTAAAGGAAACTCTTTTGTAAAGGGTTGTATGTGCCGTTGGCTCATAAAATGGAGTGCGTTTTGTCCTTTTTAAAATATCATTTCTGTTTCATTCCCGGATTAATACACGTGCTTTTATAATAGGAACTCGTGGATCTAGACATTTTCGTCATTAACTATAAGTACTATAAATCAACGAGGTTTCCGTTTACCTGCGACCATGAAAGGCTAGGAAAACTATGTTTCGACCAAACTTTGAACTATTTCCATTTCAATGTGATGAATGTTCTAGTGACAGCGGTCAGTACATTTAAGGTCTTGGCATTTAATGATGCACTTTGCATACTTGGCGTTAAACGTTTCTAAACTGACACTCACTTTAGTTCTCCCGATTTCACACAGTTTGTTATTTATGATGATAAAATCAACTGTAGGTAGGCGCTTCCATAAGATCACAGATGGAAATTGTGATAATATTCAGACAGTTAACAAGTGAGTGAAAAGAGACTCTCTCATTCGGAAAAATGCGCACTGCTTGAAAGTGCACGCTTTTCGTCGAAATGCAACAAGAAGTGCATAATTCACCTTCCGGTCGCTAAAGGACATTTTGTAAATGGTAGCTAAATAGAAAAGGGGTGCTAAAAGTAAATGCATAAAGAAATTCAATTTTAGAATATTTACCACCGCACCGCCAATTGCACGTAATAGGGGCACCGTTTAAAGTAAAACAATGTACTTATTATTAAACGGTGGTATTCAGAAATTTTCAGAAACGGACAACTTGACAAACGTGGGAAACATACATTCTTTTCTGTGAATTAAAAGCGTAAAAATTGAAAAAATTTAGCTTTGTCGTGTAGGGCCCATAGAGACCACCTCAAATGAAAAAAAAAGTGTTTTTAAGCACGCATTACCTCCATTGAAATGAACTTGCCTTTTTCGGCATTTCCAGAAAAGAAGGAACTGCTTAATACATTTGAGTAAATGTCACGCATCCGGACACTTTCAACCCTTAATGGATCTACAAAGAATCAAACGTGATTCGTCTACATGCGTTGAAAAAGTAAACGATTTCGAAAAACTTCCTATTTGTGAATAAGGATTTATATCAGTAAAACGTCAGAATATTTTTGGTGGCCCCCCACACAACAGTACTTTTTCCAATTTGAGGAATTGATGCTTTGTATTAGTACATCGAAAACGGCTTATCTAAACTTAATTCAATATTCCAATTACTAAAAGAGTAAAAAGTCTAGCGTGCTAAAAGGTATAGGTGCTAAACGGCGATAAGCAAACACAAATAAATAACAATATTTTATAAACGTTTAAGATTTGACTTACTGCACGAGAGCCCGAATGCAGATGCGAAAGTTGATATACCACAATTCTACAGGCCGAATAAGACAAACAAAGGGGGAAGTTTTTATATAGCCCGGCGCGGGGGTTCGAAAATGATTCTCGAACGTTTTGTGATACCTGCACGCAAAATATTTACACGACATTTTAGTGTCGAAGTTTGCCACAAATCTTATTAAAAATTGACTCCTAATGTTTAATAAGTTTTTTGACGTCATATATGCGCATTGCGTGTCGTGCTGGTATAAACTGGAAAAGAGAGAAAGTTACGTTTTTCTCCTTATAGTAATGGCATATTATTCTCCTTATACTTTTAGTACCTACTTTTAGATTTATCTGAATTTTGTAAGGTAGTTGAAGTAGGTCTTTTTTTCGTCGCATGTTTACGCCTGTATTCCAATTACCATTTTGATTTATTATTTTCACTGTAGGTATACCTACCCAATGCGAGTTGATATCCAATTTTTAAAGGAAAATGCCTTTTATGAATTGTTTCATATATTATGTAGTTGTGAAGCTTTCGTAAATGAATTCTGCTTTGCCGTTTCCTGCAAGTCGACTAGAGAGCATGTTACAAATTTGGTGCATTATGTGTCGTAACAGTAACTTAGTAACTAAATGCGGTTTAGAAGTAAATAAGGTAAAATCAGTTTCAAATTTGAAACAATTTTAAGAATTCTAACAGATCCTTAAGTTTCAAAGACCATAATTACTTATAACCCAACTTGGGTCCCTTTAATTTCTATACTGAGATCTTATACACTTTCCTCATTGTACGTGTACTACGAACAGACTTATCAATGTATGGACTAACAGAAAGGTCAACCTTTTAAAGACGAAGTGCTAGTCAATTTCCTTTGTGATTGTATTGTGCACCTATCAATTATTTGTCGTGGAAATTCGAACTTTGTCATTGTGCTCGTTATCCGCAATGAAGTTTTAGAATGTCTCTGTTACATTAGTCTCATAGAGAGATAATCCCTACTAAATGGATTAGATTAGCAAAGATATGACTTTGTACTAATTTATAAAATGTGGTAAAAAAAATTTCTTTCGCCAGTACCGATGGTGCATCATCTACGAATTCCAAAATTATTGACCGAAAACGTATAGAAATTCAAGCAGTATAAATGATACTTTAGATATTCTAGGGATAAGCATGATATAGATGGTGACAATTTATCTTAAGTGGGATATATTTTTTTCTATTAGAGATATGAGATTAAACCGTTTCGTTCATTGCTACCATAAAACACGCATTTAAATAAAAACTACATATGCAAAATTTATGGGAACAAGTCACTTAGTAGTTAAATAATCAAAGAAAATATGCATTTGCAAGCAAGTGTTAGTGGCTGGGGTAGCAAAACGTTTAATCAAACGTAATTTATATTTTTTATTAACAAGATTGCATATAATAAATCTAGAAAGTTAAATCTAGCGTTAAGTGACATTGCATGAATAGATATACTACTCGTATATATCGACGTTGTTAATATTCATAATTTGACTGTCGGTAGCCTATATTGTCCAAATAATGGACATTTAATCATTATCCGTCAATGGCCAACATTTAGAAAACAGAACCAGTTGCTTTAACCTCCCAGTTTAATGGACAAATTTTAAAAATATCTACTTAGGATTTGAAACAATTTGAATTTGAATTTGGATTTCGAAAAAAATCAAAATTGTGTTTGGACAAAACAACGTGCAATTCAAGAACCTCATTCTCATTTTAATTCTGATCTATTCTAGGAAAAATTTCATTATTATAGTTTTAATGTCATTAGGCCGATATGTGTCAAATAACGGCAGCGGTTGAATTTTGTAAACCGAGGCGTTATTTTTATGTATCGGCCGAATAAAATTTCAAATATAAATGTTTGCCATTACGATATTCAGCCCTGTGATGTATCAGTAACGTTAAATTTATAACGTGCAGGTTGTCTGTCAACTAATTTTTTTAATAACACTTTTTGAATTTTTTAATTTGTTTTAATTCCATTTGTCAACCTTTAATTATTAGAAAAAACTAATAATTCGACTCTTCCAGCTAAAACTGTAGTAACTCCAATTTTTCGCCTTTTGAGTTAGATATGTACTTTATACCCATCTTTTCCGTGGGAAAAATAGTACGTTAGTACCTCAGGATCGTAAAACTCAGCAACTCAAATTACACCGTTAAATTTAGTAGTATCATAGATAACAGACAACAGTATGTTGTCTGTGGTAGTATCTGTGATTCGCATACATTATCCGTCGAAGATCTTGAGTAGTTCATCATATTTTCAAGTTAATTTCCATGGAAGAATACCGTATGTTTAGTTACTACAAGTTGTATTATAAAGGTCCTTCTGGTGGATGGTATTAGTGGTATCTTGAATTACCATTATTATCGCGGTAACTGTAAGGTTACGTTTAGTGGATTGTTGAAGCCTGTCACCAGTGTATATTGTGATACGTTCCCGAAATGTGAAGATGAGAAAACCGCCCTTAAAGTTAGTCAATTAATAGAAATCCATTTTAAGTATGAACTGCCGAATATAGTTCAGTCAATTTGTACTTTATGGTTGCAAAGGGGCCGGTAGCAAATTTTATTTTTCCGGCTTGTTTAAATGGTAAAGAGAGAAAGAGAAAAAACCAAATTTGCCAATGTAACTGACGTCGGCAGAAATTTTTGTGGTCAAAAATCGACGAAAATGTTTGAGTTTTTTTAGGTTTTTCTAAAAATAACTATATTTTAATATATCGTCTTTATTCTAAAAAGAGTATAAAATAAAAACGAACGGTTCAAAATTGTTCAGAAATTAGATTGGCTGATATACCATTCCAATTGTACGATACTTCAGAGTATCCTCTAACTGATAACTTTTCCTTAAAGTTATTCCTGACACAATGAAACAATTTTTTGGAATAGCATAAGTAAACTTGATTAATTATTTATTGTCCCTCTTGAAAGGCCACATAAAATAATTTACAGCATTTAGGCGAGCCAAAGACGATTTATTATACCTCCGTTACAAAAAACCAAAATGATAAAAATGATTGGTTGATGTGCCAAAGATCGTGTATAATCTTCATTAATTATATTTGGCTCTCAACAACTCATAAAAGTGCTATCTCCTCTAGGTTTTGCATCATCATACAGATGGTACCTATTATTTGTAAAAATTGACGAAAACCCGACACTTTAAATTGATGGATCTGCTAAACTAAACTATTGATGCTAGAGGCACCTCTAAAAAGCATTATGCGGGTCACTCTGTAATTGGGCGCAAGCCTGTTGAGGACCCAGAACAAGAGAGGGATAATAAATAAAAAATAAATAAAAAAATCAAATGAAAGGTACTTTGGGTAAGTCAATTTTTTAATAAAAAGTGTCATGTGATTCGTGATTTTTAAAAAATACACACATATCGAGATAGAGGTGGTGGAAAGTTTTGAAATAAACACCCTGTAGGTACGTTTGATAATGACACTATGCCTATGTTATTGGTCGCGAACAATATAGTCAGGGAGACATTTCTGAAAATGTCTAACGGCGTTTTGTGCTACAAACTGGCAACAGGCGGTTCTAGACTAATTTGCCCCCGCTGAAAACGATGCGCCCTGTTGCCAGACCCGATTTTGACATTTAAGCCCTTAAATCCAAGATGGCGGCCAAAATTGCCGTTTTTTCGGTTATTTCGAGCCCACAAGGCAGCCACTGAACGTTTTGGGTAGTTTAAGGGTAGAATAACATCTAGTACCCAGGACGACACCGTTTAGGCACACTTTCGTATTCATATTAAGGGCGTAAATGCCTAAACTCCTCTTAAAAACGTCAAAACTGCAAAAATTCATCATTTTTTTTTCTTTCTGACCGGTTGTCGGCGTCCAATATGTATCCATATGGTAAAGTTAACATTTAAGTATGTGGGGACCTCCAGTAGCGCCATATACCTGGGGCCTAAATATCAAGATGGCGCCTGGAAAGTCCAAAAACAGTGAAAAAGTCGTTCTTTTTGCCGTAGTTTTACTACACTGGACACTCTTTACGTTCGCTGTTCATTTTGGTGTTCTGGAACATTATTATGAGTAATTGCGACTGCCATCCCGGACGTATAACACCCCCGCGAGAGGGGGGTGGAATTATCATCTCCAACCGAACGGATTCGCGAAACTATCAATCAGTGCACTCGCGTGTTAAGTTGTGCATCTTCGTCGGCGCCGCTCCTGAAGTTCATCTGTGTCGCTTCGATGGCGTCTTCCACCTATGCCCGATATTTCATTTAATATTAAAAGTCAATTAACTTTACATCATGTAGGCTAAGATTACATTCAATGAAGATATTTTTTTAATGTTATTGTTTAATTGTCATCATTTTTCCCCATGCTGCCTTTCAAATTTTGCATTGTGCACTTCTAAAATATTTTAACAAGTTTTATTCTGTAAATTAGATACATCATCTTCTGGCTTAAGGAAATTACAGACTGTAATTTCCTTAAGCCAGAAGATGACCGTTGGTCGAAACTAGTCGCGGCTTTTAAAATTTTTCTATTAAAATCGAGATTAAAATAGTATGGGGAAGGTTTTGTGTCTTTTTGGGATTTAACCTAGAATGTAACGACTCACTCTAACATTTACATTAACATTAAGCTCGTTCATATTAATTTAACATGATATCACATTACATTCTAACGCATGAAGATGCTCTATTCAAACGTTAGGCCACATCTCTATTGATCGTAGAATGGTGCTCATGTCTTATTTCGCGGTGGTGACTTCCATTTGACTGTTTCAGTTTTCCCTAGGCGATGCAGCATGAATCATCCTCTGGTGGTGATTTTAACAGTACCTAGTCTATGTGTAATATGCCAAAATCAATCCAGAGAGAAAACGTCAGTGCTTCAAGAGACAACGTTTAACTCTGAAACGTTCTTATTCTTGCATAATACCTTCTTCATAGTATTAGTGCTCAATATTCTAAACAGTTTCGACTGCCAAGTGTTACGTTTTAATTAAAAAAAATCAAAGAAAACTTGGGAAGCAAATTTTAATATATTTGCCCTCAAATCACGCCGCCAAACCAACTTCTGCCTCTTGGTTCCATAGTTAAAGTTTATGGGAGACGAGTCCCCGCTTCCGCAGTTAAGCCGTTCAGTTGTGTAACATCCAGAATGATATTCGCAATTCGCATATATGGCTCCAGGCCATCGAAATGGGGAATGTGTGGCCAGTGTAGTAAAAATACGGCAAAAAGAACGACTTTTTCACTGTTTTTTGGACTTTCCAGGCTCCATCTTGATATTTAGGCCCCAGGCATATGGCGCTGCTGGAGATCCCCACATACTTAAATGTTACTTTACCATATGAATACATATTGGACGCCGACAACCGGCCAGAAAAAAAAATGACGAATTTTTGCATTTTTGACGTTTTTAAACGGACTTTTGGCATTTAGGCCCCTAATATGAATACGAAAGTGTGTCTAAACGATGTCGACGTGTGTACTAGATGATATTCTACCCTTAAACTACCCAAAACGTTCAGTGGCGTGCTTTGTGGGCTCGAAATAACCGAAAAACGGTAATTTCGCCCGCCATCTTGGATTTAAGGGCTTAAATGCCAAAATCGGGTCTGGCAACAGGGCGCATCGTTTTCAGCGGGGGCCAATTAGTCTAGAACCGCCTGTTGCCAGTTTGTAGCACAAAACGCCGTTAGACATGCACTTTTCAGAAATGTCTCCCTGACTAATAGGGAGTTCTTGGATTCCATTGTACATCTTGCTGTATTCTGAAAATCCAACTTCGTAGAATAGGTCCAAGTTCACGGGAATCCCGGAAAAATTTCAACGTAATCTGCAAAAATCGGCGAGAGCATCGGAAATTTTTCCCCAAACTATACCATATACTAGTTACTTTCAACTTTATAAGTTTGTTTGATTGCCTCTGTTCGACAAAATATGTTGGATGAGTTGTGAAAAGGGATAATGGAAAATGTATGTAATTTATGAGAATATTAGGGGATTTGCCATGCTCTCGTGAACCTATTATATATGATGATATCGGGTGTTAGTATATTCACGCAGAGAATTCTCAATTAGATGCATTTAAAGTTTGTCCTTTGCTACCATAAAATATTGTATCCGGCAAGGATACAATTAAAAAAGAATTTGTACATTATGGCATTGGATCTGTGAAGTGTTTCGTATGTTTTCATGAAGTATGCTGTGGTTTATCGAAATCAGATTTTCCGCAAAAGGCAAAGAGTACAATGGGAACAAAAAATAAGTATTCATATTAGCGATTGAAGAAGGCTGACATTTGAGAAACTCAATAAAAAATTGTTACATTCCATTTGTTTACCCAGCAACAGGTCAAATGCTTAAAATGTTGCAAAAATGGATTCTTGAGGATCACGGGAACGAGGTGCACTAGAAATAAATAAGCAAAGATAAAGAGTATGACGGTGCCAACTCACTTAGAACAATGTTGCCTCTCTGATAAATCAAAGAGGAAAGAGTAACTTTTTTCTGGCATTAAATCATTAATTTTATTATTGTTGGATGTTAAAAGTGTGACATAAATCAACATCCAACATGGCTTTTCCGTCTATTGAACGGCTACTTTTTCACTGTATGTGTCCAGAATTTCCATCGATTTCCTGTGAAACTTTTTATTCAACTCATTTAATTGAAACTTAAGGATCTTGTAAGCAAACAAATTTGGTCGAGTAACCCTAACTGCACAAAAGCTCGATTTTACCTTAATGTAGTCACGCAAAGCATAGGAGCCTTGAGTAAATTGTAGCGATGTTACCTAAGTATTTAGCAAACGAACATTTTTTATAGAAACACCACTATGGCTGCTCCTTCAGATTTCACCAATAAAAAACGAACGAGATTTGGTTGTGCTTTTTCTACTTACTTTTCGGGATATAACGGCGCTGAAGCAACCCATCGAAACGGACGATGCGAAGGGAGGTTAGTATACGCAAGTGATTTAAGATTATGCAAACTAAAGCGTGATTTCGTTGACTTTTTCCAGGTTTATCAAAATTCGCAAAGCTGGCACGCTCGGTTACGAGAAGTCGATCTGTTCTTGTTTCTCAATTCTCATCGCATATACCGAATTTAAAGGATACAACGAAGCAATCGCATCTGGCACAAGTCAGTAGTTCGAAACCGAGTTGAGATTAAATTATGCCTTTTGTTTCCCTTTTCTCATGCTGCTCTTGGGATTTGATTTTTTAAATTTAATTTCGTTACTAGATGATGAGTTTAAGTGCAGATATTATGCCTCAATACCGGCAGGAAGCGCCGAAAACGCCTCCGCACATTTTACTACATTACTGCGCCTTCAAAGCCATTTGGGATTGGATTATTTTATGCCTAACATTTTATACAGCAATTATGGTACCATATAATGTCGCCTTCAAAAACAAGACTTCCGAAGATGTATCACTTTTGGTCGTAGATTCTATAGTTGATGTGATATTTTTTATAGACATCGTTTTAAACTTTCACACTACATTTGTTGGACCGGGAGGTGAAGTTGTTTCGGATCCTAAGATTATAAGGATGAACTACTTGAGAAGCTGGTTCGTCATAGATTTACTAAGCTGTTTACCTTACGACGTATTCAATGCCTTTGATCACGACGAAGACGTAAGTTCATCTTTATTTAATGTATAAAAGCGGTGCGGTTGCTTTGAACGCATAGTCTACCCTAAACAATTTATCAAGAATTTCCACTGGGAAATTTTCTGCATACAAGCTTGTCATAAACCTCGTCCTCTCGAACTTTCCAAAGAAAACAGTGTATTAACTTCTTACTAATTGTGTACAAATATAAATCCTTACTGAAGAGACAGACGAATGTCATCATCAAAATCGTAATTACTGGACATCAAACTGATTTTGTTCGTAATGATTTCGTAGATTAATTTATGTGTTTATAAGTACAAAGGTGCGGTGCGTCAGGTGACGCCAAGCGTAATACCTCTATTGGAAGTTTTCCAGTATAAAATGCATGGAAGTATGCATAGGAATTCTATTATACACTTTCTCCAATTAGTATCGCTTGGTTTGTTGATCTTGATAAAACAATACGCCAAGCGTAGGACACGTTTCCCACAGGAAGGGAAAGTATGTATTTTTTTAAGGAAATAACAAAACTAATCTAGTATTCTGTAGGGCAGGATCAGTAAAAGGATCTGGACTTTAAAGCAAGGGTTTGGTGACCAATTTTTGCGCTAGTTATAATGCAGGTCGCCAAATGTTCCACGAAAATGAGGTCCACGTTTAAATTTCTATTATACAGTGCGAGTGTAAAGTCTGGAACTACCACAAAAAACCTTTTAGTAAAATTTTTTGAAAAAATCATCGAACACCTCAATTTTTGTCTTAAATGAGTCATATCTTACTGTAAAGATCGACTTTATGGGAACTCTCTTTTTTATACTGAATTTAGAAAGAGTATGACATTCTATTACCAAATACGCTAAGATAATAATAATAAAATAAAGAAAAACATTGAACGTTCAAATTGATCACTATTTTGTGCAAGGCAATAACGAAGTATTGAAATTATTCACGAACTTTAATCAAAGTTTCAGGTGGAAAGAATCAAATTTCTTTGCGAATTCATTGCTGCAACATTTCTACTGTCTGTAAGCATTTTATGTAAACCTTACCCCATAAAATGAAATCCATCGGAGTTTGGTCAAGCGATATCGGAGGCCAACAGCTCCCTTTCTGTATATCAATTTACCAGGAAAAATGTCATTTAAATTCTTAACTCGAGCAGCAAAATGTGCTGGAGCACCATATTGCTGAAACCATAACGTATTGTTTGGCAGATCTGGAGAAATCTAAGTACTTTTCACTTGTCAATGAATCCTGGATAAAAATGGGCGTACAATTCTATCTCCTAGAATTTCTTCCTAACCGTTGACTTTTTGTGGCAACTGCGTGTGCGTTTCGCCTATCCAAAGTGAATTTTCAGGTACCCAATATCGATAATTATAGCGACTCACTGTTCCATTTAGGTGATATCTGCCTCATCACAAAATATGATTCGGTTTAAAAGGTCGTCATTGATATTACACTGCTCCATCATTACTTGATCTGCGATTTCAGAAATCAAACTGTGAAACAGACCCATTTTTAAAATTTGTTTTATTAAAGTGGAAGTGGAACATTAACCGCTGCTTACTGCGGATATGCTGGTGAGGACTTTTCCAAAGTCAACCGGGAAGATATCAATTCGATTTGTTTTTCCATGAAAGACTGACTTGCTCTAACTAAAGTACAATTTGGTTCATCAAACATTTTGGAAAATGAAAGAATTGGCACAGACAAAAAAAATTATTGATTGAAGCAAACGGTTGAAGTACTGAAAGTTATTGTCAAAAAACTCATTTCTTATTGAAACCATTTCCATAATAAGTGTTTTGTTCCTTGGTTAACCAAAACTCTAAAACACAGGAGACTCTTCAACTGTTTACCGATTAAACGATAATATCAAATATTCTCGCGTCAAATTTACAATTATCCAAAACTCTGACTTATTCTGATCCCCAAATAGACGCAAGCAGAAATCAAAAGAATTTGCACTAAACACGAATTTCGAATTAATTTCCGACGTAAACTAGGAAGTTTATATCTACTAGTACCTTGGAGTTCCTTAGCTGGAAATTTGAATTTTAAATTCGGAAATTTCATCTCACATTCATAATTTAGGAAATTCTGAGTGAAACTAATAAATTCCTTTATATCTGAATTTGCTGTTGAGGTCGAAAAGTTCGAAAACAATTAATGATCAAGTTTCGATTCATTTAGAACATGTATACCGGAAATGTGTGATTTAATACAATAATTCGACTTGGACGTTCTCTGAAACTCGAGCTCGGAATCGCATATTCTAGGAAATTTTGACTGAATTTGGAAGTTTTTCGAGATTTCGATACTTTCTGTACTTTATAAGCTTTTATTTATTACTCGGGATTGATACTTTTACAATTAAAACAAAGCAAATTTAAAATTCCAAAATTGGCTCTATTTACACCGAAAAATATTTTAAGCGTTACTGTAAATTAGAAGCTTTTGAGCTTAAGGATAAAAAAGTTCCGAAATTTATGTGGACATCAGATTCACCCTTTAAATCATTTTCCAATTATCTCACGAGTTTCCTCTATCTGAGCTAAAGTTTGTCTGTTTTTGTACTGTTTTTTTTGCATTCAGTACTATATTGCTGTATAGCACCTTATAGGAACGAAAAATATGAAAGGTTGCTTTAATCATCCCTAGCATCGTGGCACCTTTTATTCCCCCTTCATTCAATTGGTAGTGTTTAGAATTACTGTCAGGATGAGGTTTATCGTGACATACAAAGCGCAAACTTCATTAAAGTCAGAAACTCATCGAGTGCTTCGTAAATTGGGACGTCTCAATTATCTACATTCAACTCAAATTAATTTTATAATTCACTCCTAAACAAAACCTGGGCGGTTTACTAAACTTACTTACAAAAATATAACATTGATACGAAATATTTTTTTCCGTCGGGTAAATTGGCCTTTTGGATCTCTGCGTGTAACGGTGATCAATAATATAGCTGTCATACCGATACATTTAGTTATTAAGGAAATGGTGTTTACGAAACACATTTTAAACGCATTGATTTAATGAAAACTGCCATTGGCCGCAGATGGAGGATCTAATAATTTCCTGAGTCTCTAAATTACGTTTCCGGATAGCCCCGTCAACAAAAATAAGATGAAGGGCGACAAGGTTTATGAAAGCTGTACGTTGCAACATGTCCATTAACGTCATAACTGTCATTTTTATATTAATACAAATAGAGCTTTGAAAAAATAACTTGTCCTAGAAAAGTGGTTCAAAAGCAATTCTTTTATGTTTCAGGGGATCGGAAGCTTATTTAGCGCGTTAAAAGTTGTACGTCTCCTACGATTGGGTCGAGTTGTACGAAAACTCGATAGATATTTGGAGTATGGGGCGGCAATGTTGATACTGCTACTTTGTTTTTATATGTTGGTAGCACATTGGCTCGCTTGCATTTGGTATTCTATCGGAAGGTCCGACGCCGATAATGGTGTACAGTATAGCTGGCTGTGGAAACTCGCCAACGTTACACAAAGCCCTTATTCGTACGAATACCAAAACAATAACTCCGATAGCGCTGTGCTCACAAATGGACCCTCGAGAAAAGCCATGTACGTAACCGCTCTTTATTTCACGATGACGTGTATGACTTCGGTGGGATTTGGAAATGTAGCGGCGGAAACAGACAACGAACGGATTTTTACTATTTGTATGATGATCATTGCTGGTAAGTAAAATTTGATATGCTTGATAGTTCATGTGTAGCAGAAATTTCGTTTTCATTGTTGGAGATAAAACCTGAAGTAGCCCCTAAGCGATCAATTTAATCCTACGTAATAATTGCACGAGTTTTGTCCTTACATTTTGCAAAATTAATGCGCACGCAATGATGATGATAATAATGTCGATTGTCGACACGTTGGGCACACCTGTAAAATGTACGAATCCGCAGAATGACTATTATTTTCAAATAAGGGGGAGAGTGGTGTAACCAACATTCCATTTCTTATTAAAACAAGGATTACTCAATTAGAAAAGATCTGCTTAATGCATCTTACAACGCCACATCCCATGTTTTAATTTATATAAAACGACTCTAGTGCCTCGCCTCGAAAATTCTGTATGCAAAATTAAATTTCATAATTGCTTAATTTCATTTCAATTAACTTTTTAATATCGTTCGCAATTACTACATACAAAATAATTAGTTTGTTCAAAAATAGAATGCTTGAACGAAACAAAATGCATCAAAAGGGGAAAGTATCTTTCGTTTCTCCAATAAACTGAGAGAATATATTGTAGTTGGAGATTACTTTAACTTGAAAAATAATTCGGGAACGTGGAATTTATGGCGAGAAGTTTTGGGCAGCTTGTTTATTGTAGAGAGGAGTTCACTTACTTTACAAGTATGGAATCAAGTAATAATCGATTTTCTCCCTGAACGATTGTCTGTGTAACAAAGGTTCCTCACCTTATTCAGGGTTCTACGTTGTGTAACTTCTTAAAGAGAATATTGTGATAGGTTGAACAAAGTTTGAATAAGTATACCAAGCTGAAGTTTATTTCGATCTCTTGTCTTCTTCTCGTCTCATCATTCTCTTACAGGTGAGTGCACATTGTAAGGGAAATATTTGGACAGTTGCGTGGACGTGTACTATACGTATTTACTTAAAAATGCACGTGAAACTGACTTTCTCGTCCGTGAGCCAAGTATTTTCCCCTAAATTTAAATTCTTTGTCAAAGATAGTCCCTCATTTTGCTTGTTTGTACGTTTTAAATGAAAATCTTTTTCCATTACATTGGAATAGCAAAACTCTTAGCAATAATTCGCATAAGTTCGTCCCAATCCATTTACTCTATATAGTAGAATGCATGTGAGATAAGATTTTTTTAGATTTGAATTGGGATAGTTTCAGGGTTTTAAAGATTGCCGGAAGTTTATTATATAATTGAATGTCAATTGAATTGTTAGATGAGAGTTTAAGTGTATGTTTATGTAATACTAAGAGATAAGAAAGTTGCTTACCACATCGGGTAAAACCAGAAGTGAAACGATCGTGATCATATTTTCTTTCGATAGATGCAGAAAAATTATGTAGATATGCAAATCTTCAGATTTAATGTATCAATGAGAGCCTGAAAATTTTTAGATAACAGAGTATGCGTGAACATTATTTTTTTTTTTATTTATTATTAGTCCGAATGATCGCTTATTGGATATAGGACTAGTCAATTACAATGTGTGGTAACAGTAATAACAAGATAAAATGTCGTAAACTATTAAAATCTAACATCACATAAATACACAAAAATAAATATAATAACAATGAATATGTAAATAACCACCAAATGTACAGTAATAAAATATCACAGTCAAAGATCAAAGTTGTAAGTAGAATACAATACTATAATGACTAGAGCTAAGGAGAAAATGGAGTATTTAAATATTCATCTACACAATAAAAACAATGACTTAGTATATGTTTCCTTACGCGATTTTTAAAACAATAAAATGTCGAGTCCCTGACATTACTAGGGAGAATATTATAAAATTACTAAAAAAACAAAAAATCCATGGGAAATTACTGTAAAGTATGCAATTCAGTTTTGAGATACTATAAATAAAATACAGTTCTGAGTAATTGCGTAACTTCCGAAGTGGATTGGGTATTCAATCCAATCTAGGAGAAAGTCACACGCTGGTAGGAATAAACAAGAATTTAAAAGAAATGATTTTGTGACGTATAACAACCCCTGGCTGCACGTAACTTTATCACAGCTTTGTAAAGAACAAGCAAGAGTAATTATGGATTTCGATTATGCCTAGGAGAGATTTTACTGAGTAGTGAGAAAGACATATTCGACAACGACGAACTAGGTCAATTATTTTGTCGGAAACTAATACAAGTGTCAACTTCTGAAAATTTGTACATTTGTTATTTAAAGTTCCAGGCAAAATATTTTTTAGTACCTAACTGTACCTTTTCACAGAAACTGAAGTTTGAAGGATACTCATATTTTCCTTTCCATCAGTGGATTTATATACCTACTGCAAATCAAGAGCAATAAAATGGGCACGTTTCTATAACAAGTGGAAATGTTTGTCACTTGATAAGACAAAACCACCAAGTATATTAAAAACATACGAATCCTTGAAGAAGGGAGGGAGTGCTAACTGCTCATGCACCGATTAAACATAATTTTTATTGCGATATCAAGGGATGTAGGGGTGTCGCGGATTTGTTTCTTTTGTATTTAGAGACATTTTTCAGCACCTTTACATTTGTAGGAACCGATTTGTTTTGTAATCTGTGTATTCACGGAATAATGCAAAGTAATAAAAGTCATTGGACTCTAGCCAATTTCTTTAACAAGAACCTTTTTGTACAAACAACTGTGATTCGATAAATTAAATAAGTGTATCTGAGGATGCATGTACATCCCAATCAAAAAATGTCGAGCATAAGTCACTATTTCGCATTCAGTTTTCTGGTACTATACATCGGCATCCCACACCCCCTATAGTGCTAATTGTCTTAAGGACACTAACATTAAAAGCAAAGACATGCTTGAATGACTGTCCCGTTTTACCATTAGGCACAGTTAATCTTAGGCCGATTAAAATTTAGGGCAACAAAGACACTGGCAAAATATGCCGTTAATATTTAGTGAATAACGCAATAGTATTTCAATCTTAATGTTTCTGTTAAATCATAACCGACAGATAGTACGACTTTTAATAATTGTTCTTCAATCCATTCTCAAGTTCCTTTTTATTTTAGATATTGCCAACACCCTATATATGCATGTGAATGCATTTTAACGGATCTAATTTCACGTTCTTCTAAAAATCTGATACAACTGAATACCGAAGGATCCTCGAAACCGTTTTTGGGCTGTAACGCCTGTAACTTTTTTATCCGATAGTCTACGTATCTGAAAATCAGTAGTACCTTTCTTATATCCTTAAGAATTAAATTATCGTGCACACGGTCAGACGTCTACAGCAATACAAAGTTGTAAACGATCTCAAGGATCGTTAATAATCGATTCAGCTGATCGTATAATGCAGGCGTAATGAATGAGTATATCTTAATCGTACATGGTTTCTCATTCTTCATTCAATTTGCATGGATGCAACAATTTGAAATTGGTCTGTAATTGGTCAACAATATACCAAGGCTGCGAAATGATTTGTTTTTTTTAATATGCTGCTTTATCAGAAATTGAATGTATTTTTGCTTCTTACACATTTTTCATAATCTCCTATAATAAAAGAGAGATAGGTACGCTTGGACACGCAAAATCCATCACACTGTATAGTCTGGTAGCAATGTTACTCAGTGCTGGAATCTAAGAATGACGATTCGATGTAATACATAAGCTTTAAGATACTTCACACTACCCTCACTTTATGGAATGTCCTTATTCTGTTGCTCAATTGCTCAAATTGCATAAATTTTCTGCGGACGCAAAATTCATTTTGCCTTCACTTTTGAGGAATGGTCGCGCAAATAAATGCAAAGGGATATCACATCACATTGCTCTAACGAAATCAATCAATATTTGCAAGAAATAATAATACTTAGGAGAAAAAACAATAGCTTTCGCATTTACTTTTTAATGAACAATAATTTACTTACCCCTAGACTGTGTGGAGAAGTTCTCATAATTACACGTAACAGACGACACCGCCCGCGCACTAAATAGAACCATTGAATAAAAACACTATAGAACTGATTTGGCTATAAATTGGTAAATCCAACACGAAACGCAATTAGAAAAACGATCGCAGCAACACGTGAGGGCGAAATGTACAACTCTTATCTATATAACCATACTTCATATTGATAACGGCAATTATTTTAGCAGGATTTAAGAACCGGCGTCTTGAGTCGATTATTGATTAATTCGAATCAAGAAAAATAGCGCCTTTTCTATTTTATTTTCTATTATTCTACTTATTGATGGATTTCGGTAGAGTTTCTGTTTAAGACTTGCACTTCTAATTTTGGTCTGCAGATATTCCTATTTTGTCTTATTGGGTAGGTACTTGATGTTGATGGACACCGCCGAAAATTTACGGTCTTACTACAAGAAGGGTGGAACACCACAGGCAAATTTATTAATAGTGAGTTACCCACGCAAAAATTAGGTCTGTTGTGCAATGGGTTGATAAGGACAAACGGTCTAACCACTCAGTGCATTTTTATTCCTAGGAACTTGATTTCATGATGAACAAATGAAACATTCGTGGAAAGTAAGATCCATTCATGGGTCGAAGTAATATTTCTAAAATTTTTAAGATTTTTAACTTGTTCTCTTGCTACGTGCTGGATCTAGAGGTCCATTCAACAGAATGAACCACGCAACCACCCATGTCGTTAATTTGGGTGTTAATACGAGGTAAAAACAAACATGTTTTTCAAATAAACCGAGTGTCCAAAATGGTTTGGTTGGGAGCTATACCCACAAAAGGGCATAATTTTTTGTACGGGGTGTCCTATTAAGAAAGGTCATTGACCATATTTATGGAACCGTTAATTGCACAGCTTGGGGAAAAAGATTTTGTTCACAAAAGCGGCCAAGAGAAATCGCCGCTAGAGCACTTACGATTCAATGATTTTTCCTAAAATCTACCCAACAAACATGCATAATATCTCGTATGAATTTTGCATCATTGTAATGCAGCAAATATTGCTCTAGCTCACAAAACATGAGGGGAAGGGGAACATCTTTTTAAGGAATTGGATGTAACCTCCGTTTAGGTTAACTGATTCTCACGTAACAGGTATTATTGAAAATAGCTCTCTTTCGTGTAATCAGATTTTATATGAATAGAGTTTAGTTTAGTAAATGTGATGAGTGGTAGAGGGCGCAGTTTGACATTGACATACACTTTTCTTGAAAATTTTAAATGCAATGATATCATTATTATCATATAAGATGAAAAAGTAGAAATATCAGTGAAAACAGCATTTTGATATCGGTTTCGTAAGCAGCGATATGGCAAAAATACGCACATTCACACATTTAAATTGCAATATTTATAATCACCCAGGTTAGCATTGAAACAAAAAAACACATAACAAGCGATAATAACGTCAAAATGAATGAGACAATGGCAGAACTAACGTAAATGTTCAAACTGTATCTGCCATCATTTTCGATACAGTAGACTGATCAGCAGCTTTAATTTCGGCCGAAAATATGCTATGCATTTCATATCTAATTCTTGGCACCACCCTGTAGTTGGCTTTGTTTGACAGACTAGACCTTTTATCCTCCCCCACAAATAAAAACCTACGCAAGTTAGGTCGGGTGACCTAGCTGGCCATGGAAAAATATTTCCTCTTCCTATCAATTTGCTCAGATACCGCAAATTCAAGTAATATTGCATATTTACCGAGGAAGGCACCGTGCGCCCATCGTTATGAAAATACATAGTTCGCCGGGTTTTTTAGGTTCCAAGTTTGAAGGAGAGTTCCTCAGTTTTTTCATGGCATTGTGTTTCTTTTGTTTCAAAGCCAACTTGGATGAATATAAATATTGAAATAATAAATTTGAATGTGCGTACATATTTCCGCCATATCTCTGCTTAGAAAACAGGTATCAAAATGTGTGTGGTTCTCACTGCTATTTTCACTTTTTCATCTTATTTGATATCATATAATAATTACCTATATCATTCCACTTGAAATTTTCAAGAAATCCTGCAATGTTAATTTCGCCCTCTACCACTCATCCCATTTACTAAAACTTACATTCAACTCCCCCCCCATATTTTAAAGCTAGCGTGCTACATAAAAATGACGCAAAATACGTACTACAAGATTGTGAAAAAGTTTTTTTTGCTTAACTATGAATCGTACGCCCTCTAGTGGCAAACCCAGAAACTTGAAAATAATTTCCAGCGCTTCTATTAACAAAATCTTTTTCCCCAAGCTGTGCAATTAACGGTTTCATAGATAAGACACCCTGTACCTGTTGCTCTAATTAGCTTAACCCTCTTGGAGACCAATTTCTGAGGATTAAATAGTACAAGAGTGCATTTCACACACGTAAATTTTCCGCCAATTACTCTTCCGAGTTAAAATTTTTCGGTGATGAATTTATTTGACTTAAATATGTAAATATTGCACAGAAAACCATGCGAACGGAATTTAAGGGGAAAATTACTACCTACGCCCGTATTAAACATTACGCATCTAATTCATTCTAAGTAGATTAACTCTCTTAGGGATGAATATTTCGGAAATAAATATTACAGAGGCTAACCATGAGCTAATTTGTAGAGGAAGAATTTGACTTGGACAGATCTATCGAGTGAGAATCTTTCGGAAGCGAATTTATCTAGCCCAAACGAGTATTTAATAATGCGCAAGGAAGTTTCAAAGCTGATGGTTTTCGGGGGGAAAATTTACGCTCACACGTATTGAACATTTTGCACAATATTGTGTAGGTACCTTTCCTTCTAATTAATTTAACTAATTTAACTATTTTCAGTAAGGAAATTGGGAACGTGGTTAACTTTACCTGCGATCGCAGAAATATTACTGATATGTGTCTTAATAACCACTGCCCTACTAGAAAAAGATTCGGAAAAACCTTCGGAAAAACCATACTTTGAAACATGTCCCCTTTAAAATTAAAAAGTTACTATCAACTCTATCCAAACACATCGTGTCACTTTTGTCGATAGTTTTCACATCTACGTTTCTAAAATGTATGATAAAGCTCCGAAGTTGATACACGGAGAAAAATGGATTTTTTGAGCCCCGAAAAAAAAATTGTCTCAGATCGATCCGGAAAAAAATTTTTCTTATACAATGTGGCCTGTAGAATCCATAATTTCAAACAGTTCCAAGATTAGGCTACTGTCTGATCGAAAAAGTACGAATTGTTTTGGATTCTACGTACCAAAATTAATAAGAATTCCCGAGAAATTTTGGCGCAGTCGATTTTTGGCAGGATGTGTATATTAGTTGCAATAATCTAAGTTACAAAGCGGAGATACTCCCGTATTACAAAAGCATGCATATGAGATGGTTGCCGTTACATACAGTTTTTGTATTAGTTAAAACAATATATAGTAAAACTAGCTATACACTTGCAACAATATGTATATGATAAATTTTATAATTCTTCATAGCTATCCCTATACGTATTTGTCAAAAAATACACAAAAACCATAACCACTCTTAAATCAAAGGTAGCATTCGTTTTCACCAATAACTACTGAAAGAATCGGCGGGGATGGCGCCCAAAATGTATTTTTGACTCCATCAGGCGACGATCATCAAATACGATTAGCAATAACCATTGTTACAACTTAATAAACCCCCAAAAGATATTTTTCTCTTTCATTTCCACTAAACACTCTAAAAAATCACAAAAAAATTATCAAAATCAAATATAATCACTACGCTTTCTCCTTTACCCAAGTGAATTGCATCGAAATGAAAATATTTACATTCTTGAGTAATGAGTAAAGCAAAAGGAATGTAATTCATTAGAATAATACGTGGCGAGGTGCTCCACATTTCCGATGTACAAAATACCTTTAAAGGATGCATTATTTATCAATCTATTTTCTTTTTTTCTACGTGGCACACTTACTTGACCCCATAAACGCGACAAGGACCAATAAAACCGTTGCGACGCTTCGCCTATAGTTCGCAAAAATAAGTCCAAGATTCTAGCGTGAGAAAAAAAACCTGTAATTCGTTGTTATTCGAGGTTAAGGTTAGAAAAACAAAGATTTAAAGAACCCGAGCACCGCAAATTGCGGAAGGGAATATTGAGGTCACTATGTTATTGTTTGCGTTCAGTTCTGGGTTAAAAGCAACCACTATAAACTTTTGCGTGGAAGTTTGATTGGGAGGCGTAACTTATGTACTCTATTCTGCAATGTTCATTTTTCAGCTCTTCTTTATGCCACCATTTTCGGTCACGTAACAACCATAATACAGCAGATGACAAGCGCAACTGCAAAATATCACGATATGCTCAATAATGTAAGGGAGTTTATGAAATTACACGAAGTTCCTAAAGCTTTATCGGAGAGGGTAATGGATTACGTAGTTTCGACGTGGGCAATGACGAAGGGATTAGACCAGGACAAGGTAAACTAAATTAATATTGAGCTCCGAGATTTCTTTTTCCTGTATAAAACCACGTAAACAGGGCAATTTAGTTGGAAAATTTATATGTAAATCCCTTCCGTAGGTATTGAACTTCTGCCCGAAAGATATGAAAGCGGATATATGTGTTCATTTGAACCGGAAAGTTTTCAACGAACATCCGGCGTTCCGTCTTGCATCGGATGGCTGCCTCAGGGCTTTAGCAATGCATTTTACAATGTCGCATTCCGCCCCAGGAGATTTGCTGTATCACACCGGGGAGTCTATAGATTCATTATGTTTTATAGTCACAGGTTCGTTGGAAGTAATTCAAGATGATGAGGTGGTAGCAATACTAGGTAAGTATTTCCTATAAAGTCTGCTTTATAATTACAATTTTTCTTGTGCAGGGAAGGGTGATGTGTTCGGCGATTCCTTTTGGAAGGATAATGCAGTGGGACAATCGGCGGCGAATGTTCGTGCTTTAACATATTGTGATCTCCATATGATTAAAAGAGACAAGTTGTTAGAAGTGTTAGATTTTTATCATGCGTTCGCAAATAGCTTCGCTAGAAACTTAATTTTAACGTACAATTTGAGACATCGATTAATATTTCGTAAGGTAGCCGATGTTAAAAAGGAAAAAGAGTTGGCGGAAAAACGGAAGAATGAGCCCCAATTAGATCAAAGCCAACATCATTTAGTGCGGAAGATATTTTCAAAGTTTAGAGGAGATAGAACCCAGCACACTCCGCCCGCGGCGCATCCCACCGCCGATGTGGAAAAGGGCGAGGAAGGTGATAAGCCGATAGTGCGAGTGACGTCGGCCGCAAAGTTATCATCGGTCGCCGAGAAGGACGATAGTAGCGGTGGAAGTATAACCACGAAGGTTTCGCGACCACCTACAGCGCGAACGAGTAAATGGGGACGACTGTTGGGGTCTGCCAGTCTGGACTCCGCCTCGGATACGTCATCGCAACCTCCAACGTTTACACGTAGTTTAAGTGCCAGAGATGCCTCTAAAGACCGACCGAGCTCGTCGTCTTCCGGAAGTACGATAGGTCAGCAGACGGTCGGTGGGTCCGGAAACAAAGTGTTTCCGAAGCTTCAAAAGATGTCTACCACTTCCAGTCCCGGAATAATAAGGCAGGACACGATAGAGGAAATAGTCGAAATCGAAACTCCACGCCTTAGAAATTTAAGTTTACGAAAAATGGAAAGCTACGACAGTGGGCTTAGAGATCCTGCAGTTGCTCATTTTTATCAACAACCCGTCCCCGATAGTATAGCGCCTCCAGAGTACAAAGAACTAATGACGAACATTATGGATTTTAAAGTAGACGTGAAACTCGAAATTCAACGGTTGAATCAAAAAATGGGAAGGATGGAAGAATTACTTTCAGAATTACTTAAAAAAGTCAGCGCGGAGAGTAGTTCCAGTTCGCAATCTCCTCAAGGTGATTCGGATGTTCAAAAGAAAAAGTCTTCCACTTTAACGCCGGAGCGGCCTACCGAATTGGTACCCGGTACGTCAGAGAATACAGGATTAGGCCCTATAATACTTAGAAAAAGAAGATCGAAAACCAGAATGAAAGGAACCGCGCCGCAAATACCTACACCGCCAGGAGGAGGAAGAATCGCGTCCCCCGAAAGCTTGACAGCCAGTCCAACCGAAACGACTAGGATGCTGGACGAGCCCGCGCAGACGCCGTCCTCTAGAAAGACCAAAGAATTTGTCTAGTATTAGTTAACTAAGAAAACTAAACTAAGTAATTGTAAAGCAACTAGTTTGACGCCTGCCACTAAATTAGATAGCTGATGAATATAAATAATTCTAACGTTATTTTAACACTTTTACTAAATTCTGTAAATAATCAGCTTTAGAACGAAGTTAGGTCAGACAATTTCGTATGATCATTAAATTAATGATAGTACGAGGTTTGCGCAAATGATGCCTTGTACCTGCGCTAAGGAAGGGTAGTCTTTTAATCACGCTTGAGGCGCTATCTTTTACTAAAAACACGAATCAATCTTACTGCAACTTTAAATTTTAACGGCAACTATTGCCACTTTCACCAATTTTTCCTTTACTAAAAGACTAAGTAAATTTCTCTGGCAAATACCAACATTCTTCCTACACGGCATCAACCCTCTTCTACCTTATTTTTCTGTGATATTATATAATGAAATCTCTACGGAGAAAAAGTATATGATGTAAAAAGATGTATTAAAAATGGTTGTACAAGAAAAATTGTTAAACGTTTGCCAGTCAAATCTGCAATTATTAGCAATATTGACCTAATTCTAAAACATGTAGGCTAAGACACGACTTGAGGGAAACCTCAATGGGTATCGTTCTATTCAGTTCACCTTTTATTGGTCAGTGAAAATGAGTTGTGTCAAAATTGCGAATGTCACAGCGTTCGTACTTATCGCAAATATGGTTTTAAGAAAAAAAAGACTGTCATATATTGTTACTTTGTACTCATAGTCACTTTTATTACACGTAATACTTGTTTGTTGCAAGTTTGTAAATTTTTATCACCAAATAATACATTCAGTGTGAATGGCGATCAATATTTATATGTTACCGAACTTTGATTTCAGTGTTTGAGCTTTTGAATAAAAAGCACTTTATCGTGTACAAAGGATTTTTGCAAAAAAAAGTGTAAATATTGGGTGCGGTAGATGAGCCTAGTTCTTTGTAAATAAAACTACTCAATTACAGCAGCGTTTTTTTAAGGAGACATTCCCTTTGCTGTAAGTTGCTTTGAAATTGTTTCTTTCATGAAATCACAGATTTAAAGTATATTTAAATCTGTGACGAAATATTCAAAAAATAGCGAATCAAAGCGATCTGTTAAAATTGTTAATAGTTTTCCTAACTCTTCCTTCTCTCTATGAACCAAAACAGGCGTTTAACGCACGGCCTTTGGAGCGGTTTATGATGCCACACGTCAACATTTGGAGCAAAAGCTGACTATCTTACCTTAAAGGTAGGTACCTAGATAATGATAATTTTGTTGTCTGAAGAAGAAATTTGTACGGTTTCGCCACAGCTCACCAAACTGTAGGTAAATATAATCACAAAAAATTCTTTAAAATTTAAAATCTAGAACAAGAGAGAAAATAAATAAAAAATAAATAAAATATAAGTATGCTAAACTTTTCTAGAAAGGAAAAGTCAAATATCCTAACTCTAACACATTCAATAATGAATGAAATTTACTTAATACCACTACTAATATTCTGAGTAGGTTTATCATTGGCAATTGCACTTTATCGACAAGAAGACCTTTTCCAAGCGTCGTGCTGTTTAGAAAAAAAAATTAATATGGCGTCATGGTTTTTATTTCTAAACCAAAAAGAGGATTTAGAAAAGATTTTGGTACAAACAAAAATGAAATTTATTTAATTTTTTATTTGATTGATTTGAGTGGTCGTGGTTTCAGCCAAAGCTGCTCTACCAACCCAATTCACTACCTATACATTTACAAATATCCATGCCCGAACACGGATTCGAACCAGGGAGCTTCTTGTTATTTTTATAAATGTATCTAGGTGCCTACATAAATGCTTAAAAAATCGCATGAATGAAGATGCATTTAATTTAAAAATTTTTATTAGAAAATATAGCTTTAGGAATTTTAAAATCTACTTTCGTTCCCAAGATATCGCGCTGTCCTATTCCTCGCTGAACACCCTGCATATTCTATATATCTTTTTTTAATTTATGCTTTAGTATTCAGAATAATGTGAGCTGTCCACTAATGCAAAACCATTTTTTTGAATTGTAATCATGTACTCGTCTAAATCACAAAATTTGTTCATGAAAGCATCAAATCAAAAAGGCAAAAATAAATACGTAAGGGCCAATCATTCCATCGCTCCATAAATGTATGTGGGAAATAAGTACCTTGACAACGATTGGATCAACAATGGTATTCATGGAATTTATACGGAGAATAAAGTTATTGAGAATAGGAAAAAGTAGGCCTAAACCGCGCCACTAGTCGTTTAGAAAATTTAAAAAGATAAAAAATATTTACTAAGGGGGCCAAGGGAGGACAAGGTAGAGTAAGGGATCCTTGTCCTATTTTTTATCAAGCTAAAAGGATAAAGTAATTGAATGGGTTGAATTTAAACAATAACTGTAGTCGAAAATTAACTGAAATCGATGGCAATTTTATTCAAGAATATTAATTATACCCAATGGTTTCGAAAGGTTACAAATAATAATTAAAAAATATATGTCCAACTCAAAATAAAATTTGAATTCACAAATAATTTATAGAAAGAAAATTCCGCAAGAATAGCTGTTTAAATGATTAACGCAAACAAATATATTAATTACAATTCGGGTATATCGAAAGCATTTTATGAACAAACGTTAAGATCACGGAGTATCAGAAATTATAATATTACCTTTGAGTCTTAGCCGCAGCCGTTTTCGGGCCCAGAAAGGGTGCTGTTGGCAAATCTGTAATCGGATAAACACAAGAACAAAAAAAAGGAATAATCAGCACGGCATATAAAGGTAAAATCTAACATTTGTCACGTCAAGCGATGCAAATACTGTAAGTCGTAATCAACGCTTAATGAAAAGCAAAAATTCAAATGACTTTAAGCTAGCAAAAGAAAAATGTAGTAATATTTAGGTAGATAACAAGAAAGTAAAATGAAAAATAATGAAGAAAGAAGAAGAAAATTAGGAGTGAAAACAAAGCCCTAAAACAATATACGTGTTAAAAATAATGCTGAGTCATACTTGTATATTGTACCTCACGTGTGTTTCACTTGTAAAATATAAATCCGCTAAGCGTATTCAATCGAGCAACCAACCAACATCCGAACCAAAAAGAAAACCCCAAAGCACTATTATAATAGCCAATACAAATCCCTTTTCGGGTAGACATAAGTCAAGTACAGTTCTTTTTTTGCGTGTTGAAATTACTGCACTTTTTTGTCACAAAATCATACCGAAAGTGTTACTTTTTTTCACGATTTTTACTATGCGTTTCCATGGTATTTAGTCCTATTAATGAGAAATAGCATTAATTTTTAGGTCACAGTGAATCGCGAATATAAATGGCACTATTCAATTATGGGTGATGATAATGAAGCTTTCATGACGATTCTGAAAAAACAAATTCTGCAAATCTTTTAGACCCTACATCAGTTATCAGAATTTTTCCAAACTATTTCAAACATCATCTTAGCTTCTACCATGCATTGACGAATAGTCAATTTTTCTCTTTTTCATTCCCATGTTTGGGTGAACGGTCGTTCTTATTGTTGGTGGAAGAATTGGACTGATAACATTATAATAACGCGATAAAATAAACTGGACGATCTTTGGTCTTGAAGGTGATTGCAAATGAAATGTTTGAAAGTGCATTTATCGTAATTCGAGCTTCCAATCTGACTGTACACTCCGAGTCTTTCTACAAGCACCCGTGCCCGCATTTGCTGTCCAATCAACCAGCCAGCCAGCCGCCCAAAGTAAGATCTACCTTTTTACAACCTTCATCTTCAATGACACCATAGTTACCCAATCGAGGACATCTGTTTAGGTAAGTGTCAAAGGTTTAAAATGTGGCCTTGTGTTTTTCCACTCTGGATCAAAAATACTAAGAAAATTGATTAAACCATTTAATGAATAAACTATGCACATCCGTGCACATTTTTCAACGATTCAGAAAGTATTTGATAATTGCAAATCTTCCTAAAATACAGAATAGGTTACAAAAAGTAAGCTAAATGCAACTTTTCTTTTGCCAAATTCCAAGGAAACTAATGGGTTATTTAGGAGTGTTTTTGAAATTAGGTGTTATCACTATGCAATCAAGCAGAAATTGTGATAATATATCCCCAGCAATATGTAGCTCCCCAACACAATTACAAGTCACATACTTTGAAGGTCTTTGTTTATGAGTGTCCACAAATAGTTGTCTCTTAACTTTTGGTAGTGGGGATTGGTGTAATTGGTATACAATTCTCGAAAAATGGTGATTAGTACAGTGAAACGTCAATTTTTGGTTGCTCGTCAAATATACGTTTGATCGTTTTCATTAAACTTTAATTTTCCACACTTGAAACTAAGCAAGATTTCTCATGTATCGTCGAACATTGCTGTGAAAAACGTCACAATTCAGTTTTCTATACCTTATAATGTCCGACTGTAGGCAACAAATCATACGCGGCGTGCTAACTAACGGTGGAAAAGGGCATTATGATGCAATTAGAAAAGTGAAAGCTGACAGGTTGCTTCAATATGTAGTGGAAGAATTGAATATAACTACAAAAGTGGTCAGCGGTTACAGTATTACAATATTGTATGGTTTAGTTTGACTACCGAGTGATGGAGGTCGCCGTAGTTTCTGTCCAAACAATAATTTGATTATATTTAACGCCAATTACCGCACATACTTCCTTATCGCGATCTAAATTATTATTAGCGTGAATTATGTGTCGACCACCAGAAGCTTTTAAAAATAATATGTTCGTATTTTATGCGCATTAATAAAACGACATTTCTAAATAATTTCGGAACGTGAACAACGCTTTATCTTCCTTTCACTTATAGAACGAGGACAACAAAGACCAATTTTTATACCACATCCAAAAGAAAATGTTCATTTTTTTCACCGTTTCACTCAATACAATAGTTTTTCGTATATGACTTTCAGTGCGACATTGGTGACATTTAAAGCAACATGAAACGATCAAATGAAGTTCGCAACAGTCGGGATTTGCAAGACAAATGGAAGGTTGGTCAGATCCTGAAAAATAATACCTAATTGCTTTGAATTATAAATTGTTCATATCTTAAAATGTGATCATTAAAGCATTTCAGTTATTTGCATATGATACAATCACAATACCATTTCTAAATGAGTCACTCAATTACAGAAATGGTTACTTAATTTTGACTCTGCAACGTATTTGGGGCGTAACGTCGGAGTACCACATGTAATCTTATTCAAAGTGTGACACGTTAATTAAACATAAATAAGCAAAAATTACCTATAATTGTTTCGTTTAACAATCTTCTTAATTAAATTCTCATAACCATGCTGTAACCCAACTAAAAATATAAATTCTCTATTACTGTTGCTATAGGTACCTACTGCTAAAAAAAATGAAAACGCCATTCTGCCACAGTCTGAAAGAAAGACCTTGATTAGATTCCAATTAGGATATCTGTACCCTAACTTCAAATGAATTATTTAATTAAACGGGTACGTATTGCAGCTGTTAATGGCTTATTAGATTACACCTAATGTTTAAAAAGCTCATTTTTCATTTATTGTGGTATTTTTGGTGGATCAACAATTTGGGATGTTTTAAAATTGCAATTTACTAATTACGCCCGCCTTGATCTATAATGAGAAGTATGTAGCTTTCAATTTTTTGTTTAAACTTTTTTAGTTTGCAATTTAAACTGCTTCGTATGCTAATTGGGAGTCCTACGCCTACCCCTAGAATATCTCTCAAGTCTCATGGCACAAAATGAAATAGAGGCGAGAATTTTAAGTCAAAAGATTACAACGGATGTCGTTTGAAGTAAAACGAGATACATTCTGACACTTGTTAGAGCATATTTCACCGTGCACATTGAAACGGTACTTAAAGCAGTTAAAAATAATCCAAGTTTACTACCTGCTGTTTTCTCATTTGTAAAAACATAATTACCTACTGTACAACAGACTTTTCCCTA